AGTAATCATCCAACAGGGGGACAAAAGCTGTTTCCAGCCCCAAACCAGACCTGAAGCTTGATCAGTTAGCTCAGATTGCTACCAAGTATAAGGAAATATTTTTATTGTTAGATTCTCACATATTATTTTTATTTTTTATAAACAAATTACAGGTACTCACGTTGGGTGGTAATTGAAAGAAACCACATGTCTTATAGGACATGATAAAATGCAATTTATGTAATATTTTGCTGAAATATTACACAGGATGCTATATAAACGCCTGTCAGTTGTCTTTCTACGTTATTAAATTAAATTTGTAACCCTGGACATGTTTTCCTGATAGTAAATCTCAGAGTAGTGTTAAAATTGTGTATGACTTTATTAATTGTTCATTATGCACTTAGTGCATTTTATTCCCCCTCATTTTCTCTAAGGAGCTCATAGTGGCATACATGGTTCTTCCCCTTCCCATTTAATCCCTGCAAGAACCCTGCGAAGTACATTAGGCTGAAGGGCAGTGACTGACCAATTGGGGATTTGAACCCTGATCTTGTGGGTTTTGGTCCAACTCTCTAGATACTACACTACACTGGCTGTAAGCTGATGGGTGACAGTAAATGTTTTTAAAAGCAGCAGGAAATAAAACACACAGAATATGCTTTTAAAGTAATTTTAACTAATAGGTTTAGCTGTACTATAAATTTAATTTGTACTTAGAGAATGCGTTTGGGGGAAAATTGGAGAGGAGTCACAGTGTAAAAGAAGGCTACTCATTTCTGTCTTTAATATGTGAATCCAAGGACTGAGATGGCACTAGATCTAATACAGAGCCTCAGTAATCACCTGAACAGAGAGTTCCATGAACACTGCATTAAAAATCAATCCATCAAAATAAGAAATTGCAAGATGGGCTTTCCATGTACAATTACTTGACATGACAAGGCTAGCAAAATCAATAGACTTGTGAATTTTCTTTCACTCTTCACTTACTTTTGAGGACTTCTTTTATATTCTTGTAGCAAATATTCAGGACAGGGGATTTTTTAAAGATAGAACATAATTTGGATATAGTATTGCTAATAATATTTCATTTGAAAATGCATCTTTTGTTGAGTTGACAGTGGAAAAAAATGTTAGACAGAATGACCTATGTCCTTTTTGTTGACTTTATTTAATAATTTGATTAATATGTGAACAGCACAGCTAATATTGCAATGCAGTCTTTTCCACCAAGAAACTGTACTGGAACAATTGGTACTGTCATGGCACTGACATTGTTAGTGCTGTTGCCAAGCTTTTTCTAATAAGATAGTGTAGCATGAAATAAGGTCTTATTTTCTTCAGGTTTCAGCTGCCATTTCTTTGTGTGCTTAACTCTTCCAAAAAGGGAATGAAAGATCTTGGGTTTTTACATATTATTGAAGTCTTAAGTGTACCCATCATGAAACTTCATTCACTCAAAAATCAGCATAATGAGCATAAATTAAGTGCATGATAGCTGTAAAAGGTTACTAAGTACCCAAAGAAGAATATAAGATATATACTTTGGTTTTCTTTTAAAGTTCCTCTTTGTACTAAAAAGATGCCTTCAGTTTTTTCCAGAGAACAATGCCAGCTTAGGTTGATGCAACAGCTGTGACCTTCACTAGACAGATATCAATACCCTGGTAATGTCAAGATTGGACTCTTGTAGTGCTTTGGGTTCTATTCAAAGTAGTGTTAAGGGCAATCAGTCTGCAGAAGAATTTCTCCTTCTCTTTTGTCTCCCCACCCTGCTCAACATGCTGCCTTAATCTGTTCTGAGGGTTGGGGTAAAACTTGGAGAGGAGTCACTCTGTTAGCCATGCATATTACAGAAAGCTACTCATTTCTTCCTCCAGCCAACCTAGCAGTTTGAAAGCACGTCAAAGTGCAAGTAGATAAATAGGTACCACTCTGGCGGGAAGGTAAACGGCGATTCCGTGCACTACTCTGGTTCACCAGAAGTGGCTTAGTCATGCTGGCCACATGACCCGGAAGCTTACGCCGACTCCCTCGGCCAATAAAGCGAAATGAGCGCCGCAACCCCAGAGTCATCCGCGACTGGACCTAATGGTCAGGGGTCCCTTTACCTTTACTCATTTCTTTAATATGATAATCCTAGGACTGAGATGCCCCTAGATCTAATACAGAGCCTCAGTAATCACCTGAATCTGGAGTGCCACGAGCACTGCATTGAAAATAAATCCATTAAAATAAGGAATTTCATGATAGGTTTGTTTGACACTAACAGGACTAGCTAACTTCACCACGGTATGGCTCTCCTTTATCACATACACAGCCCAACAAGACAATGGCAAAAATCCACCAACAGCATACAAATCAATATGGCTAACCTGATCCAAAGGGACGCGGGTGGCGCTGTGGGTAAAAGCCTCAGCGCCTAGGGCTTGCCGATCGAAAGGTCGGCGGTTCGAATCCCCGTGGTGGGGTGCGCTCCCACTGCTCGGTCCCAGCGCCTGCCAACCTAGCAGTTCGAAAGCACCCCCGGGTGCAAGTAGATAAATAGGGACCGCTTACTAGCGGGAAGGTAAACAGCGTTTCCGTGTGCGGCTCTGGCTTGCCAGAGCAGCGATGTCATGCTGGCCACGTGACCCGGAAGTGTCTCCGGACAGTGCTGGCCCCCGGCCTCTAGAGTGAGATGGGCGCACAACCCTAGAGTCTGTCAAGACTGGCCCGTACGGGCAGGGGTACCTTTACCTTTTAACCTGATCCAAAACACCCACTCACTGCATTCACACATGAAAACAAAGATCACCACAGCCATTCACAAACAAACAACCACACCCTAGGCCAACCCCAACTTCTCTCACCACCAAAGGAACACAAGTGAATAGCAGAGAACCTGCACAAGCGACGCTGACACAAAACCCCACATATATTAAATAAAATAGAAACATCACCACCCGACCCCACCCCCATTCACCTTTCCACCCTCCACCTCTTTCCCCCTTTTCTTCCTAATGTCTCAACAAAACTGATTTGTAAAAATATTACTTGAAAAAGAGACATTGCACATACTTTTGTAAACCAATAAAATCTTTAATAAAAATACATTTTTTAAAAAAACAAGACTAGCTAAAATAGAAGGAGCATGAGACCATCATATTCCCTGTTGCTTCATCATAGTCGCAGGCGCTGTGTTGCACCTGACATTTGGGGGGGGGATGACATCGTGCAAGCATTGTGTGTGCGAGCATGATGTCAAGTGTGTTGCGCATTGGCATGCGTTGTGTGTGTGACAACTGTTGCATCAGGAGAGGCCGATCAGGCCTCCTCCCGCTGTGACATTCACACAGGAGGCCACACTGGTCCGTGTGCATCTCTCAGTGTTGCACAGCATGGGGCAACATAGTGCTAGGCCTCCTCTGCCCCCTTGAGATTGTGGGGCCTGAATGGACATTGTGGGGGCCATAGCCAAATAAAGTTGGTGCGCCTGATCATGGTTCAATCCATCATAGTAGGTTTCAAAGCTTTCTTGCTTTGTTTTTAGAGTGACCTGTATGCTGTTTGGTTTCCCTTCAGGTTCTATGAAAGACTCACACTCGCTTGTATAAAAGTAGTCTATTCAAGATAGAATCCTGGAGTATTTTCCAAAAGTGTGGAAAATACAAAGATTTCACAATGAAGTTGAAGGTCGCAAATGTGAAATATCACATATCTGTGGAAATTTTTGATAACCACTCATCATTAATTTTTGTTCTACTGAAGGCTGATTGCATATTACTAAGCATCCTTATCTTTGGCCACTTGTGCATCTGTTACTCTGCATCCCCTGATTAACTCTCAGAATCGTCCCTTTCCTCTGTGATTGCTTCCATTAGTTGGATGCTATCATTTCTCTCCTAAAGAAAATTCTCTGTGAACTGTGACCTGCAAAAATGCTGTTTTTTGATGTAATGTTTAATTTTAAAAAACTCCAAGAGGTTTTAAAAAGATTGTCTTGATTGTAGTCTAAAACTGAATAGCTTGAATTGCTGAAATAAGAAAAGAAAAACCTCTGTTGACATTTGAAGCCAGCCATTTTATAGAGATCCAAAGAAATGCTCAATTAGACAAAAGGGTACTGTTGTCTTAGTATGAGATACAAATCATATGTTATTAGTAATCTTTGTTGTCTGCCATATCTTTATATAAGTGAAATGGCGCCACACATACAGAGGAGAGAGATATCAACAGATTTGTGCTTGGATATTTGCAGAAGAACGTAAAGTTTAGGGGTGCCACTCAAATAGCCCAATGACAATCTAATATGTTTAGTGTGTCTGGAACACTGGGCTGTATGTTGAAAATGGAAAACCGCCAAGAGATGAGGTAGAGCAGCAACTGGAATCCCAAGCAGGAAGCACCCTGCATTGCAACATTTTGTTGCATGTTCCACTTGTATTATTTAATATCCCTGTTTGATCTTCTATGAAAGCAACACAAATGTCAAAAAGAATTTCCAAATCCACCCCAGCCAACATGGGCAATAGGGATTATGGGAGTTCTTGTCCAGCAACATGTAGAAATCCTGCCCTTTAAGGACTGCCTCTTCCAATATGAACTCACCTGGACTCTGTACTTGTCATCTGAGCCCTTCTCTACGCCCTCCCTCACCAAGAGGTTAGGGGGTGAGTTTATTTTTATTAGCTAAGCCTGAGTTTTTGCAGAGAGTGGGAGATATTTGTGCACTCGACCTTTCAAGCACTCAAAAGACACACACCACCTAAAATGAAACAAAAACATGCTATTGTTTCTGTGGCAAGACTAAGCCTGCACTGGAAAGCCTGCTGCTTTCAAACTGAATGTATATGAAATGGTTTATCTGCAACACAATTATATTAACTATCCCACACTTTTGAATTAGACTATAAAACAGTCGGAAATTGTTTGTGTCCTTGTGCCCTGTTTATCATAAATAATATTTGTCACTAGCCAAAGACAAGCTAACCCTTTAGTCAGCAACGTTAACAGAACTGTATTTTCTTTTTTTACAGATGAAAGGGAAGATGTTCAAAAGAAAACATTCACAAAATGGGTAAATGCACAGTTTGCTAAGGTAAGAAAATCTCCCCTTTTGCATTCAGAATCAAATGTATGTGTTCATTTTAAGGGTAACTTAAAAAAAATAGAAAATATTAAAGATTTTCATGAACTACAAAGAACGTGCAATGTCTCTCTCTTTTTTGATCAGATTATAAAGTCTTTTGGTTATGTTCAATTTAAAATGTAAGACAATAAGATTCCATAGGTAGGGGAAGAGGGTAGAGGGTGGGTGGTGAACACTATCTTGTTTTCTCAACTTGGTATGTATGTGGGGTTTTCATGTCGGTGTCAATTGTGTAGGTTCTCTTTCTGTATATTTGTTGGTTTATATTGGTGATGAGAGAAAATTGGGGGGGGCAGGGTATGCTTGTTTGCCTTTAATTGCCTTTGATTAACCATAGTGAGATTTGTTTGTGTTTGCGGAAATGGGGTATGGAATATTGGGTCAAGTTAGCCATATTGATCTGAATGCAGGTAGTAGATCCCTGCTATCATTGTCAGTTTGAGCTGTGTGTGTAATAAAAGAGCCATGCCGGTCCTCTTTCTTTTGCCCTCATGTCAGTTATAGTTTGTCAGTTAAATTTTCTAATAAGACTGTATTCCATACAATTTGGTACCAATGGTCCATGCTTACTCCAGACAAGTCTCTCCAGAGTCTAACTATGATGTTTATGGCCTCTGAGAGTAGGTGGGTTATAAACTCTTTATGGTGCAAGTGAGCATTATTGTCTTGGAAAATATTTAATAGGGCCAATTCTGGTGTGGGTTCCAATATCTGTTTAGTTATGCTACATACATTTTGTAGGACTGCTATCCAAAAGTGTTCGATTTCCATTTTTGACCATCAGTAGTCTTTGACTACAAATTTATCGCCATTGGGATTTGATGGCAAAAAGGTAAAGGTAAAGGAGCCCTGACAGTTAAGTCCAGTCGCAAATGACTCTGGGGTTGCGGCACTCATCTCGCTTTACTGGTCGAGGGAGCCGACGTTTGTCCTCAGACTGTTTTTCCGGGTCATATGGCCAGCATGACTAAGCTGCTTCTGGCGCAACCAGAGCAGTGCACAGAAACACCGTTTACCTTCCTGCTGGAGCGGTACCTATTTATCTACTTGCACTTTGATGTGCTTTCGAACTGCTAGGTTGGCAGGAGCAGGGACCGAGCAACGGGAGCTCACCCCGTCACGGAGATTTGAACCGCTGACCTTCCGATCAGCACCCAAGGCTCAGTGGTTCTTTGACTAGGAATTTATCGCCATTGGGATTTGATGGTAGTGCATAGTTTTTCCCTGAAATAGCTTTGCGCTTTCCTCTTTTATAGTAATAGCTCATATTGAAGATGATAATTTAGCAGTGCTGGTGTGTGAACAGGCTTGTGATGGGATGGTCAACAATTTGTCATTATTGTCATCTTTGTTTACAGAAGAGTATGCATGAATATTATTTTTTAAATGAATAGCCTTGATTGCAGAATTAAGTCAGACATTGTTTCAGAAGTGTTTCTTGGTAAGATTGGCTTAAAGGGTCTGTTTTTATTGTAAACAGATGTTAAAATATATGATGTCACTGTGATCATAGAAAAATAGAGAGTCTATTAATGAAGAGTAAAATAGTGGATGACTGAATTATTTGCAGTGAAAGAAAGCTATGTACAGACTGTAAGAAACTTTTTGATTTTGAAGTAATTATATTTGTCCCTAGAGAAAACAAGACTCATACATGGTTCATAGTGACTTCTCTGTTCCAACAATAATGAAAATGCTATGTGAAATGTTGATTACAGCTGAGTTGAGAATTTTGCAAAACAAATTTTACAAAACAATTAAGAATCATATTTTTGACATTTCTTGAGCTTGTAAAACTAGTGCTGCTTTTAAAGGGACTTTTTAAAGGTTTTAGAAAGAGGCTTTGAAAGCTCACCTGCAGAATGAACCACCATTTAATTGAAGGCTCAGGATTTAATAAAAACAAATCATTATTTCATGTAGAAGTATTAGGACTGCATTTTCATTGCTGAGAAATTAGTCTGTGCTCTGGTGGCAGTAGTCCCGTGCACTTAACTTTACGTGGTAAATTAGGATCTTAGGAGCCAACTCCTAGAGGCTGAGGCATCTCCCCCCCATAAAATATTTGAGGGGACTGCCCCCAAACTTGATAGACATTCTCATTCAGATGGTGTGCGTGCTCTGCATCATGTGATTAATTATGCAGGGTGGGGCTTACCTGCCTCCCCCCAATATTTTATTCAAGTTGGCACTCCTGGCTAGGATGGGTAAAAAGTAGCTGTTGTAGAATGGCCTATATTTGATGTTTCAAATTGATTGATGCTGCTGTCATGGCAGTATCCTGACAGCAGAGGTCTGGGGGAAATGAAATTTCCCTTTTGGCTCCTTGGCTCCTTGTACTAACAGACTACTGCTGCTCATGACAGCTTCTCAGAGATTTCAGCAGTGCATTTTGAACAAAACCTGAAGACTTGCAAGCCACATTTTCTTTTCCATTGCAGATATTTTCAGGAGAATTGAGATTTAAATTGACTAAGTTAAGGTTTTATGGTGTTGATCCAGCTAAATAGCATCCTATTACTGATGGTTTCTAATATCACATTTTTTTCACTAGGTTACCCATGCTGAGTATTTATATATATCATCTTGGGAATATGCAAAGCCTTCAAATATTCAATGCATTGGATAAATGTTGGTGATTTATGCATAGGTTTTCATTGGCCTTCAGGTTTTCATTGGCCTTTCATGCATAGGTTTTCATTGGCCTTTCAGAGGGCCTTCTCAGTAGTGGCGCCCACCCTGTGGAATGACCTCCCACCAGATGTCAAAGAGATAAACAACTACCTGACATTTAGAAGACATCTGAAGGCAGCCCTGTTTAGGGAAGCTTTTAATGTTGGGTGCATTTTAATATTTTGTTGGAAGCCGCCCAGAGTGGCTGGGGAAGCCCAGCCATATGGGCGGTGTATAAATAAATTATTATTATTATCATTATTATCATCATCGGAGGCAAAGGTAGCTAAGTGTTACAGACGCAAGTCCTTTATGCTGCCTTTTTACACCAGTAAAAGACAACGGGTAGAAGGGTTGAAAAGTTTTATTCAAAGCTTCAGCAGAGAACACTCCAAAAGACTGAGCCCCGTACTCCATAAAAATATGATTTTCTACCATAGCGAGGTACATTTTAGATTGGCTGCAGTTGTTCTTCAGTTATGTGCTAACAGTAACTGGTCATTATCTTGGGACTCAGGCAAGGTGTAGTAGGTGCAGCCGGCTGAGGCTGGTTCTGTGGCTGTGATTGTTAGAACATGGTTATTCCAACTCATAGAATCATAGAATCATAGAGTTGGAATAGACCACAAGGGCCATCGAGTCCAACCCCCTGCCAAGCAGGAAACACCATCAGAGCACTCCTGACATATGGTTGTCAAGCCTCTGCTTAAAGACCTCCAAAGAAGGAGACTCCACCACACTCCTTGGCAGCAAATTCCACTGTCGAACAGCTCTTACTGTCAGGAAGTTCTTCCTAATGTTTAGGTGGAATCTTCTTTCTTGTAGTTTGGATCCATTGCTCCGTGTCCGCTTCTCTGGAGCAGCAGAAAACAACCTTTCTCCCTCCTCTATATGACATCCTTTTATATATTTGAACATGGCTATCATATCACCCCTTAACCTCCTCTTCTCCAGGCTAAACATGCCCAGCTCCCTTAGCCGTTCCTCATAAGGCATCGTTTCCAGGCCTTTGACCATTTTGGTTGCCCTCCTCTGGACACGTTCTAGTTTGTCAGTGTCCTTCTTGAACTGTGGTGCCCAGAACTGGACACAGTACTCCAGGTGAGGTCTGACCAGAGCAGAATACAATGACACTATTAATTCCCTTGATCTAGGTGCTATACTCCTATTGATGCAGCCCAGAATTGCATTGGCTTTTTTAGCTGCCGCTAAAAAAGCCAATGCAATTCGGTCAGTCAGCCAGTTACAAATCCACTGAGTGGTAGCATAGTCAAGACTCAGCAGACTGCATACATGGAATGCCCTCCATGACACTAGGGCGGCCAGCTTCCCAGTTGCCTATCAAAAGTGGTTGGAAGTGCTGTTTACCAGCTGCAGCTGGTACGCTAGTCATGGCCATTCTTGTACAGGGTACCCTGGCTACAGTGATTCACTGATTGGTAATCTCAAAGCTGGATAATTGGAATGCACTCTAGATATGACTACCCATGTCAATTGGAAAAGCAGTACTGCCCAATACTCATTATTCATGCCAGCTCAGGAAATATGGATGTTGTGATTTATATCAGTGTGGTACTTTTGTTTGGTAAATGGTATGTTATAATAAATAACCTGCTACTGTTCTTTTGGCTTGTCAGAAATAATTTTTAAATAAATTATATAAAAAGCAGTATTCATGGTCCC